ATGCTTATTTTAAGAAAAAGAAGAAAATTCGAAGTACAATGCACATACAGTAGTTATTTGTGTTTGCTGCAAATTTAGATAATATTTGTATTAAAAAAAAAAATCGAAATATAAGGTTAACCAATATCTTAACCAGAGCTACAAGCAAGGCTTTGAGGGTTTTTGACGTCCTAAAACCTTCCCGTATATTCGTGTTAGGGTTTCAATGACATTTACTTCATACTTCTGACGTGGGACAGACACATAGGTTTGCAGAGTTTAACATGTTTATGAGTGCTAACCTCCATAATCAGGGAGCAGCTGTGTATAAAAAAAAACAGCATAAGAACTTTGAAAATCAGTTGGATGTTAAATTTATTTACAAAAAGTTGGTCGAAATTTAGCAAAATAAAAACCCAGAAAGACACAAGACATATAGTATTGAGCTAAGGATACTTGCAGTTGCTGAAAGTAAGTTCAAAACTTTGTTGAGAATGGTGATGAGATCTTAAAAAAATATATCAAATCGATAATCTTTGCAGTCCGGCTATATATCGTTCGTTATAACTATTAATTTGACGATAACGTATCCAGTATAAAGTCGGGATATTTAATCGTCTTTTCATTTCAATTACAAATGTGAGTAGGAGGATTTGTGTTTTTCAAAAGTCTTCTCTTTCGTAAATATTGTAGGCGTAATGTGAGATTCCAGCTTTTGTTGTCCATTCCAAGTTCTTTAGCTAGACATCCCAAGTTACAATATTGCATGAGGCTTTGTCAGTCGGAACAACTTGTCGTGGAGACATGACAATGCAATCACAACCTCCGGCCTCTGTAGGGGTTAGAAAATCCCTGTGTGTTCATTGTTCATCGTATAGGTTGCATTTCTGTAAATATCAACAATACAATTTCCCATAGGAACTCCTTTCACGGCTAAAACTGTACCACTTTTACTATGAAGTTTTGAAAAAAATTATATCTTAGAATGGAAAGTTCATATGCACTACTATTTTTTTCAAAGGTCAAACTATAGGACTGTGCGGCATATTTTCAACGTTTATATGCCCCGAACTTCAATGAGTTTAAACTTACATTAAAAATCTATGGTACCCCTACCTTCATTTAAAGATTTCCACAGATTTTAACTTGATCACTATGAATATGTATATTTACTGGTTACATTCCCAAGTTATGTCTCTATGAGATGAAACATAGAGATCATATCCGGGAACCAGTACATAAACAAAATTAATTATCTATGAATATTATATATCTCCCCAAAAGAGGCGTGGTTTGAGAAACAGCTGTACAAAGTGCAACCTATAATTTTAATGCGCTTCTGAATGCATGGCCGAGCAGCGTTGGTCCATTCAGATCAAGTGCCCACGTTTGCTTCATCTGGCTAGGGTGCATGCTTTAACCATTTTCTGGTGTAGTTTTTTAGGACATTATATGAAATAGCTGACTAGATAAAACAAGTTGAATGGATGAGATGCATTGATTTACTTATTATATTAGCAAAATAATGTGAAAGAGGGGATGTAAGAAATTTTTGAGATTTTATATTTTTAGATAGTAATAAAAACATATCAATATCCAATATGCACTCATTTAGACGCTCAACAAAACAGACTGTTTTCCTAGTGTAAAAGTTGTCTCAGGGATGCACACAATCTAAAGTCTTGTGATGTTGATAGCCAATAAAAGTGATTTTCAAATTAGGCCAATCAAATTAATACCACACAAAATGTATGACTTGTGTCACATATTTATATCATAACTTGATAAATTAAACGCATTTTACGTGTTGTGTGCACAAATACAGAAATTAATAGCATCCGACTTTGCTGAGTTTCTCTCTTTCTTGTCTTTGTTTTTCTTTTGGTAGTTTATATTATATATAATTGGTATTCTTCAGTTTGCTATTTGTTCAATGAAGTACAAATGATTAGATATTCAATGTTAGATGAAATATATAATATATGCGTATTCAGGTATTTCATGTTAAGAAGCAATTATCTTTGTAGTAAAAAATGAGAGATTTATTTAAGAGATTCGTGAATTCGGACAGTCTATCATATATCCATCAATTTAGAAATAATATGCTTGTTATTCAGTTTCCCCTTGTTGGTGTTTCTTTTTACTGATTCCCTTTTAAATGGGATACTTCTAAAAAGAACTAAACAGGCAAAAAAAAAGTACAACAGATCGTTTTTTAACAATTTTTATGTGGTGTCTTTTTGTGAAGGATTTAACCATGAAGAAAAAGTGAAAGAGTAGCACTACAAAATATACATTTCCATTAGATATAAAACTAGTTCACGTTGTTAAGTAAAATTTATTTAATTTCGTCAGTTCATTTTGTTTGATGTTTTGATTTTGTTTTGAAATATATAAATAATTACAAAAACCTAGTAATATATACCAGTAAGCTTATGCCATAAACCACCTTATGTGAACATAAAAAAATGAAAACAACACGTTTAATAATTTCATGCGTCCGAAGTGCTTTCCTGGATTTATCTTCATCAGGAAAGCTCAAAGCCAAACATTTTAAATCCGAGGGATGTATAAGTACCGAAACAGTTGAAGAGCTATATGACAAAAATACCTAAAACAAATAGCCAAATCCATCTAAGGTCAACTTTGCCCGAGGGAGTTGAAACCTTAGTTTCTTTATAATTTCAAAATTTATAAACGGGCAATTTTAGAAAAGTTTGTTATAAATCATGTCAGTACCGAAGTACTGAGTACTGAGCTGATGATACCCTCGGGGAATGATAGTCCACCAGCAGAGGTATCGACGCAGTGGTGTAAAAAATTGAAAACAACACGTTTAATAATTTCATGCGCCCGAAGTGCTTTCCTGAATTTACCTTCATCAGGAACGCTCAAAGCCAAACATTTGAAATCCGAGGGATGTATAAGTACCGAAACAGTTGAAGAGCTATATGACAAAAATACCTAAAACAAATAGCCAAATCCATCTAAGGTCAACTTCCCTGAGGGAGTTGAAACCTTAGTTTCTTTATAATTTCAATATTTATAAACGGGCAATTTTAGAAAAGTTTGTTATAAATCATGTCAGTACCGAAGTACTGACTACTGAGCTATAGTCAAGAAAGGTAAACACAATACAAATTCGAATGTTATTTAAGAATGTGTCTTTTTGTATAGTAGCTCACCTAAATGTCAGTGTTGGCACAGATCACCAGATGGCACAGTCGGCATGCATTGGCGTATCCTAAGATAATGCATATGCTTCCGCAATACCACAAAACTGTCACGGGGGAAAGACATGTGAAAGTATATGTGCAGATGCCACAGCTACAATGGATGGATATTCAGATACTGGAGGGCCATTAAGGTATTTGGTATTATTAGTAATTTGTGAAACAAACATAGAACCAAGTTAATTAATTGATTAGGTAAGATTAATCGCAATTTAATTTCGCGACATTTATATTTCATAAAATGTAATCATTTCGTGACTTTTTTACATATCATCATGTGACCAATGATAATATTCATAGTACGATATGTTTGAAACTTTACAATAATAAATAACTTTTAAAAAGAGGTGCAAAAGATACCAGACGGACAACCAAACTCATAAATCGAAAATAAACTGACAACGCCATGGCTAAAAAAGAAAAAGACAAACAGACAAACAATAGTACACAAAACATAACATAGTTTTAACATATCATTAAATCATTTTTTTAGAACAGCTCGTCATGTAAATGCCTTTCACTTTTACAAAAGACGTGGCGAAGAAAATGTACCATACAAACCATATGTGGTGTCATGGAAGTATGGAGTTGCAGGATGCTTCTACAAACACTGTAGACCTAATTTTTGCAGTTGTATCAGTTAAACAAAACCAGGTTTGGTTCCAGAAAAAGAGATATTGTCGTAATTTTGAAGATTACCAATAAAACATTACTGGATCCAATGCTTGTATTTTTTTTATTTCAGAATTTTCGAAAACTCACAAATTAACACCGAAGGAACACAGAAGGGTTGTCTGCTTTATTGAATATTTATAAATTTGACTGAAAGTCCCTTATCAAAGTGCAAAATAAAAAGCTCAAACAAATCAAACGAATGGAAAACAACTGTCAAATTCATGATTTTGTAAAGGCATTTCCTTATGTAGAAAATGGTGGATAAAACCTGATTTTATAGCTAGCTAAGTCTATCACTTGTATGACAGTCGCATAGAATTCCTTTATATTGACAACAAGGTGTGAGCAAAACAAACAGGTATAAGAGGTAAAATGTCAAAAATTTGGGTACAACAGTACAAACCACTACTGGTACATATTTGTAGAAATATAAAGGTACCTACTCGAACATTTTATCTCCTCTTACTTTCACGTTTATAAAGAATGTTGTAGTGTTCCATGCATTTCTACATAGACTTTTCTTCTGAATCTTTAATGGAATCGTTATGAATAGATTGAGCAGTCACTGAAGATACAATGTGTTTATTTGATTTTTTTTATCGGTATCCAGGCTTAAATCGTGCTTCATGTGTTTGATTCCCCACATGTCTCTACTACAGAAGGAACCAGTCTATATACAAAATGTTGAATATCAAATCGCTTTTTTGTGTATATGAAGCGTAGAAAACACAACATGAATCACAAGAGATAATAGGCAATAAAACCAACAAAAGCTACAACCAACACCACACTATTTCGAACAAATAAATCCCAAAGTAACACAGGCATACAATAACAAACAGCACACGGTCAAGATATCTTGAATTGGCACATATTCTGAATAAAGTGGGGTTGAACCATTCAATGTGTCCTTAACCTATATAGACCTTATGTCGTTAAACGTAATTACACAATAAAAAAACAAACATGCCCAATGCAGCTATGAACAAGTATACTACTTTCTTGAACAAAGAAACACAATATAGCACATATTTTGAATAGCAAGCTTAAATTGTACTCGTTAATAGCAAGGTAGCTAAGGTGATGGTTTGATACTGCAGATCAAGTAAACAACACTGCTCAAATGTTTAATGACAACTAAAAGACCAACATTAGTCCACATACAAAACATAGAAAATTTAAGACTGAGCAACATGAATCCACCATAAACCGAAGGTGATCTTTCATAAATTGTAACAGCCTCAATATTCCCGCGATAGCGTGATTGTCTCGTGTGTGAGCAGTCAGGATTGGACCCCTTGTCAGATTAAACCAAAGACTTCAAAACTGGTATTAACTGAAATGATTAAAACCCGACTCAGTTCGTCAGTTGAGTAGGCTATGTTTGATTTTTCTCTTCTAGGTTAGTCTGTCAACCTTTTCAGAATTAATAGCACTCTTCGTTGAAAAGCAAATATCAGAATGTTCGTGCATAATACTCTTTTTTTAGAATAATTTTCATCAGAATGATTCCTAACGAAATGAATAGAAAGCCAAAAGATGAATAACTTTGAGGGCAAAATAAACCAATAGGAATTAAAAAGAAAAACCGTCATAGTTCAATTTGTATGAAAGAGTTGCAAACTTAGTTTAAGCAGTATTTGTACTGAAAATTTACGTAAAAAAAATTATCAATTAAGTCATACTAAAAATTAAGTCATTATTAATGCTATATGCTTTAAAAAAATAAGATTACAATATCAATATCTGCATGCCTCAATAGGCCTATGAAGCACCTCGTTCTAAACTTTTTACATAATAATTACTCAAAAGTTGGTAATTAACTAACAGATACATAGTACAAAATGAGTCTCATTCTCACTTGAGCCTGACTTGCATATCTTCTACAAGTGTCTTTCTGTAGGAAATCCTCGATAGCACACTTCTCTTATTTTCATTTCTAGTGGGAACATCCTGCATCTCAGTCGAGCAGTTACCGATCTTATTCGTTCATAAATATAACTTTTTGTATACAATACACGGTGTAGGAGATTCAATTGTATAAGTTCGAAGTATAGAAATTTCCTCTTGAATCTCTGACCATACGACAAAGCAAATCTTTTACGATTCAATCTATAAATTTGTCACAAAATCCATAAGAACTTTTAGAGGTTAATGAGTCTGAGAGTTCACATTCGTTCACGAGACATTTTACTTTGTTACTGAAAATATCGTAATGGTTGACTGAAAAGCGAGTCTCAGAAAGGTTCGTGATGGTTTTCTCTTTCTTTTCATGTTTACTATAGACACCAAAATATTTGTTTTCCACAAAAAGTTTATGGAGCACCTTTCACCTTTTAGTCGAACTAATGTCATCTTGATTATACGCCGTAATCTAAGTTGCCAAAAATGTGGGCAGATGATGATCACTTAAAAGCATGTCTGTCCTGGTGATATAGAAAATAATCACATACCTGCAATTGAGTTTACATTTGTTATTCATTTTTACATCTGGGTACTGTATAAATATTCGTACATTTTTGTAAACCCTTTATTTTGAACTAATCAATTGTGAAACATTTTATCACCACTGTCACTACAATTAAAACACTACACATGTATACTTGAAATTAAATTTTACAAAACAGTTAGCAACAACATTCATATATTACAGTATTTCCATTTATATATAGCTATATACTTTATTTTGGGGGTTAATAGGATAAGATGCTTCCTGCACTCAGTTTACATTTTTAGATATTATTGTTAGCAATTTTGCTCCACATTGTGCTGACTTGGCTGTTTCATGGAAATTCTTTACAAGATCCGTTCCTTTCTGTATCGCGCTATCCGATAGTCGCCACAAATCTAACATTCTAAGGGTCTGTTTAACAGCTCCTGGTTGACTATTTTTGATTTTATTGATTTCATCATTTGTAAAACCAAGTTTTTTCGCCATTGACTCCCATTCTCCAGCTATTGCAAATGACATTTTCTCTAAGCTATCGTTTGAAAATATCCCTGCAAATGGAAAATTAGTGTATGTAAGCAATAAAATACTAGTGTGTACTAAGAATTAGATGAATAGAATATCTTGAAGATAGCATCATATTTTTATATGTTGGTGGTTGCAAAGCTTATCGTTCGGTTGAGGCTTAAATCAAATGCATAGTTTTTTTTTTTAATTTACCATTTTCGAAATTAAATCAATATGCATGAAGACATTGCTCGTATGCGCCACTTAATATGCCTTGTTAGACGAAACGTGCGTAGACGTGCGTTGAGCGAAAAATATAATACGCCTTGTGTCTGCGACTTAATTACACAAATGCTCATACAATAGGTTGTATTTTACTGAATAGCCATTAGAATGACATATTACCTTTTACAACGATTGGGGCTCTAACTTGATGATTATTTGATATATGAACTTGTATATATACACAAGAAGAAGGACCAATGTAGATTAAAACCTAGATGTAGATGATTGTTTGATATTTGAACTTGTATATATACACAAGAAGAAGGATCAATGTAGATTAAAACCTTAAAGATTAAAATTTTAAGACAAATAGTTGCAAAGTATTAAAACTTAAGGTCTCAAAACTCATCAAAAGTACTCATTATGCCTAAAACGATGAGAATACATAACTCTTATTTTCAAGAGAACTATATGAATACCTTTTCCAGGAAAGTATGGTTTGATAAACTGATGCGCTTCTGACTCCAAAGTCGGATCATGATGGGACGTTATAATCTTCTCAACCTAAAACAAAACAATAATATGTACGGAAGTGCACATCATACTAAACAAATGTATTGTGTGTTGTGCAAGATATGCAAAACTGATCTCCGAGGTTATCTTAATCATTTAAAGGCAATTTTAAGTTATAAATATATAATTTTCTTATTCTTTCTCGAATACTTATTTTGTCATGTTTGTATCGCTTGATCTCTATTCTTCACTAACCAAAATTCAATTTGGACGTCAAATTTTCTAGTTGTTTTCTGATAAAAAATCAATCCACGAGAAAGGATGAATACTTTTTTTTATGAATACTTAAGTAAATCTTCTAATACTTCAAAATGAATATCGCGAGAAAAACTGCAATTATAGGAAAATGCGTTCGACTCCATTATCAGTGGACTAGGATTGCCAGTTTTCATGCATATGGTAAGTGGTTGGTTCTGGTAATCCGGCTCCCTTAGAAAATGGTCGCTATGAAATATCTAATTGCACCAATCATTTAATCTACAGGATATGAAATTTAGCATCTGCTATTTAAACTGCTTATCGGAAATTTTATCGAATTCCCGTATCAACAAAATGGAATTAACAATGTCTGCCTTTATTATTTGCAAAAGACAGCCGACATCAGTCTTCCTTGAACGTCTTTCATATGTTGATATAACATGTGTTAGTGATTATTTTTTATTAACTCTGTTGAGTTTTGATTGTAACGATTAAACGGATATGTTCCAATTATCGTTACTGCAATCCCGTTCCTTTTTTCCCGAATGTGACCTACCAAATTAGACTCACATGTATCACCGGGTTTGTACTAACATGAGCAACACGACCCGTGCCACATGTGGAGCAGGATCTGCTTACCCTTTTCGGAGCACCTGAGATCACCCCCAGTTTTTGGTGGGGTTCATGTTGCTCAGTCTTTAGTTTTCTATGTTGTGTTTTGTGTACTGTTGTTTGTTCGTGTTTTTAGCCATAGCGATGTTTATTTTCGACTTGTGAGTTTGAATGTCCCTTTGGTATCCTTCGCCTCTCTTTTAATACTCTATAATGTATAACTATTCGCCATTTATTCCTGTTTGGTTACGAAAAGAGACAGTATGATTAAAAGCAACATGCACAATTAATAATTAACAACAAAAAAAGGAAATAAAAGTGATACAAGTTTGAGCTTTCTAAAAAGCTGTGGACTGCTTCGCTCTATCCTAATTTAAGGCGACATGTGTGCATGTGGTTGTTGATTTAGTATATTGATTGATATAAAATGGATGTCTTAGACTTGGAATATCAATTTTTGTATATATATTAAGATGAACTTTTCTGAAATTTAAACTGGCTGTTCGGTGTTAAGTTATCAATGTGTTTTTGTGGAGTGTGGTTTTCTAGTTCTTTCAGTTGGTCATTGACTCGCGATTTTGATTGCTAGTTCTGTATATAATTTATTTAGATATATATGAAAGTTTAGGTATGTTGATTAAGAGTAACATGATTTCGAGTGATGAATGCAATAACAATCAAAACCAAGGAGTAAACAAAGACTTGTACAACCAAAATATATGTTCACTTTACTTGTTGAAAATTAAAACATTTACAAATAGACACGACTCTGGAGTTGTGACTCAACGGAGGTGTGCCTAGATTGGCAGAAGTCATAAAATACAGATAATGCATTTTTGTAAACATTGTATAGGAACATTGTTTAGCAAAACAAATCGTGCATATTGCAGATTAACAAAGCAAATAAACGTATTAATAATTGATATTTCAATATTGAATTTCAGAATGCAATATATGCATAATAAAACGAACATGACTTAATGACATTTGATCGGAACTGAAATACACATAGTTAATTTTCAGGCATTTGATGTCTTATCCTGAGACGAGTAAAGTCTGTAATTCTTTATCTCATTTAAGCCAAAAGCTGTTGTTGTATCTCAGCCGCATCATAGAGCAACCAATCAGAATCTATATGTGATAAGTAATTATTTAAAGATGGCGTGTTTATCAACTGAAACTAATAGCTCTGCACCGTGATGCGAAGCAAAAACTATCACAAATTAAATTCAACTTTTTACTTTGGAATATTTCTGATCGAAATGTCGAATATTTTGATAATCTTGGTAGTAACTTTATATTAATGGCATTATTATAAAATAAGAAGATGTGCTATGAATGCAACTCTCCACCAGCGACCATATAACATAGCAATGAACAACTATAGGTCACCGTACGGCCTTTAACAATGAGCAAAACTAATACCGCATATATAGTAAGCTATAAAAAGCCCCGAAATGACAAATGTAAAACAAGTCAAACGAATAAACTAACTGCCTGATGTTTGCTTGCGCCAAACCCTACCCTTAAACTGGGACTGTGGTGTAACAGCACACAACTAGAAAGAAAACCAAAAACAAATCAGTTGAAAAGGGATTAACTCTTCATATCAATACAAAGCACAAAAAACCCTAGCAAAAACACAAAAGACACGGAGTATACTTCTGAAAGTACTTGCAGCTACTGAAAGCTAGTTCAAAGCCAATTACAACCAATAAAAATCAAGTGTATAGGACTAAAATATCTATCAGTAAACATTCAACATCCCATGGATTTAGTGTTAAGACGTTATTAACAGTGAAAGTAAACATGACCGTTTGTAATGCCAAAATAAAAGTATCGACAGAATGTAGTACTGTGAATGCACATATGTGTATAACAATAGTATTTATTTTGTTTATAGTTTACTGTAATCAAAATTAATATTTATACCGATGAAAACAATATTCAAAGATCTGATTACAGTGTTAAACTGGTAACCTTTTAAAATACGTTTATTAGAGATGACCAGAATATTGACGAACGATCTTATCTCGACGAACGAACGCAATGGGAGCGGTTATTGTATGTTTACAAACGTACTTAAAACTTAAAAGATGTTATCATGTTTAAAGTGCATTTGGATGCAATCACGTTAATAGATAGAAACGCATAAAAAAGGTTTTCATAATATTAATGAAAGACGTTTACAAGTTTCCGAAAGTGTTACATATCATACGATACAATGTGATTGTTTGTTATTGTTGAAAGCACGATGAAAGGTACATCACACATAGGATCATTCGAGTGCAACGACAACTTTTGCAATGTTCAAACAGATACGAATGCAAAACTTTGATGATTTGATATAATTTACAAAATTATTGTTGTCCGATCGTATGTTTGCTCTGTGTTTTTATTGGGTATTCAAGTTTCAGGAAAAAAAACTATCAGATTAAAATATAAAAAAGAAAACCTATATATATATAGCATTTTGTACCAATTAAAACAAAAACAAATTCTGTTGCAAACAATTTTTTATCATACCTGTCATCCGCTAACGATGGAAAAACTTTTTTAGTGTAAAAAAACTAGTCATAACAGAAACTAAAGTATTTTTTAAGGGAATTAACTAGACTAAAGGCATTAGTGATCCATTTATGACGCATACGAAGACATTAAATATATTTTTAAAGCCTTACAACTATTAAGATGAATAAAAAATACATGTCAAAATGACCACAGGCGCTTGTGGGGTAGAATCCCTTTTTAAGTGTTTAATTTCTATTAATTATTCTTGATTAAAATATTAAATTTTCTATGTTTATACCACTTATCTATTACTGCTGCGTATGTCTCGCCTAGTTTCAAGTGAATTTACCACCTCTGTTACAACCCCTTACTTTACTATCCATACTTAAAACAACATTTTAGTATGGTTATCAAACCATGTCAGAGGAGATGCAATGAGTAAGTGCATAGTGGATAGGATGAAATTAGTAAGTCCATAGTGGATTGGATGCAATGAGTAAGTCCATAGTGGATAGGATGCAATGAGTAAGTCCAATGTGGATAGGATTAAAATTTATAAAATTCCAAACACCTGTTCCTTCAGGAAAATTTATGGACCGCAACATACTTCGTCTGATATGATTTGTTTGATAAACATGCAAAATTTTGCGTAGATTGTTGAAGTACGTTTCACTGAGTTGAGTATTTAAACTATCATCGATTTAAAAAAATAATTAGAAAGCAAGTAATATGATTGATAAGAATATCATTAAGATGATGGTACGTCAACCTTTGATTATTTCGGAATTCAGATATATTGCCTTTCAGTTTTGCTCAACTCATGTGGGGAACCAGGGTATTGCTGTCCTTCCTTCCCAAAGGACTAGTCATTTGCACCATGAAGGGGGGAGGAGGAAATTAAAGGGGCCTCGAAAATTTTGGGTATGGGAAGGGGTGGTATTCAATATTTCAATACTTCAAAAGCATCGAAAAAAATTTACAATAGTTTAGCTGTTCTGTATTTCAAACATGAACAAATTATAGCTAATTTGATAAAATACTTTAAATCAGTATCTGACTATTCAACAGAAGTGACTAACACTTGATTCAAATGTCATATCTGTAACTATTGTGTCATAACTTTTGGCTTCAAACTGCATTCCAATGTTTAATGTTATATTCATGTGAGTCTTGACCATCTTCTGTTTGTTTTTTTGGACATGGAGAATGACAATAATAGGGAAAAATGGTTTGATGTCTTTCAGGTCTGGTTTTAGGTTTTTCTCGAAATTCTTCTTAATATCATACCCCTTTCCATATCATAAAAGCACTGATAATATTAATAGTTGTTTCGTTACATGGTTTATCGCAAAACTTATGATTGAGCATATATTTCGATGGTTCAAGATGATATCTAGGAGTCAAGTGTTGCACTTTTAATACGTCTTAGCGTTAAAAATTTCCTTTATGACCTAGAGGTATGGAGTCAGGCGACCCACAACCAACGCTTCCGCTTACAATAAAGAAAATAATTTATTTTAGCAGAAAAGACATACATTTGTTTCGCCTCGCTTCGCTCGGCTCAATTGTTAAAAAAAAACACCTAAAGTCTCAATATATTCTTCCAGGAAAGTATTTCTATTCGAAGTTTAGTTATAAACTTTTTTATTAAAGAATATGAACAATGTGCTAAAATGGAAAGAAAACAAATAAAAGAAATTCAGATGTTTCCTTCCCCCTCCCAAATAAAAGAAAAAGACCAATCTCTAGTAACAAACCTTAGATAATTTTTAACTTTTGAAATGTGGAAACGATTTCGTTTAGTTACATACGTTGTGATCATCAATCATATTAATATAGTAAATTTCAATGTCTTTCCAATCACCCTTTCCTTTCATTGAAATCTAGAACGTCACTACAGACAATATTTCATCCTGAGGCAGATCAATAAACATATGTTTCATTATCATACTTCTGCACATGCTTGCAGATGAACAATACGAAACCAAGTTTTATTTTGCCGTCGAAAAAGAATGCAAAACAGTATGTAAAAAAGCAGGAAATGGTTATAATTTGTATTATCAGTGATAACTGAAAATGACCGAATCAACCTCCCCTTTTCTGCTTCACTGGCAAGATAAATCTAGATAAACGTTTTAATTGTCATAGTTTGAGTATCTTTTATCATGATCAAGATATAAATTTGTCATACTTCTTTTTATATATATACAAGTAAATATGTTTTACTCTTGTCATAATGTGGTACTGTATATGAATATAGACTAATTAGCATAAAGAGGTCTATTTATATAATTACCCTATCTGATTCGAACGGTGCATGATGATTTGCCCAATACAAAATGAACTGTTCGCATCTCTCTCGTTGTGGCGCTTTTGTTGCTTCTTCGTCAATATTTTTACAGATTTGATGATAAAGATGGGAGTCACAGTCAGTAAGATACCCACCAAGTTTCACCCATTTTGTTGAATTAAAATTTGTACATGTCAACTGCCAAGCGATGTACTTAGCCAATGCTTTTACTGAAACACACAAAATCAACACACATAAGGCATTGTACATGTTTAAAACGTCGCAAACCTACCAATTTTAATACGTGTTGTAAGGTGTTAATCAATACAATATATTATGCTAATTGTGTTCCATAGAAAATACTAATGGTTCATTTATTTTCCATGTGTACTAACTTTCGTAGATTGATTAAATATTGTATTTGAGTGGATATTTGATTTCGTGGTTTTGCCCGTCTACATTCTAACATATAGAAAAATGTGTACTTCTTTAGACATTTGGATTCGTGATTCATCTTTACACACGAAATGAACGAAAATTATTATCCTACGAATAAATATTAACCTACAGTACTGTGTGATAACTGACAAATAAAAAAGACAGATAATGTATATATAATTATCATTTTCTAGGACATAAACAATTCTCTATCGTTGGTGGGGTTTTTGTTTTTTTACTTTTTCGAGCCAGATGGCAAAACATTACAATGTTTTCGAATTATTGGTAATTTATTGTGCATCGTTTGGAGTGTTGTTAGATCTTGCAATAGTACTTCTGGGTCACAAAATATGCACATCAACATCTACTATTTTATTTGAGAGCATTATAATGCTTTCAAGATTGATCAATAAAGAAATAATTACTTTAATGTATCGTGTTTATATCGTCCATGTCTTTACATATTGAGAAGATTACAGCGGCATTGGAGACTTATAACAAAAACTGGTTGTCATGGAACCAGACTAATGATGTCCGGTTCGGGTGACATGTTGTCATAATTACTGTTACCTTTTTAGCTATCCAGCTTAGTAAGTCGGTCTAGTACAACGCAAAGTTCATATTTCTATCAAATGATGATGTTCTCGTCCGCGTATGTATGTAATATTCCCCTTTCCATCCCCCGAAAAATAAAATAGATTCGAACAATAAAAATACTTTGCAATACCATCTAAAATGTTATCAGATCGAAACAGGAACAACTTATGTTACAACCTTCTAAACAGCTTTTTCTTTTATCATTTCTTGATACAAGGTCCAAAGGGTTTTCAAAGATTGAAGTTGGGCTTCAATTGAAGATAGCATATGATCTCCGTTGTTATCATTAGCCAATGGCCTCAAAAAATAGATGGATGACAGAAGATCGCAATTCATTTAATTGATTTCGATATTTGTTCAAAATCCAGTTAATATTTTTAGAAAAAGGGTAGCAGATACCAAGGGGATAAACCATAAGTCGATGAACAAATATAGCAGAACAAGAATGTGTCCATAGTACACGGATGCCCACTCGCACTATCATTTTCTATGTTCTGTGAACTGTGAAATTGGGGTCAAAACTCTAATTTGGCATTAACATTAGAAAGATCATATCATAGGAAACATGTGTACTAAGATTCAAGTTGATTGGACCTCAACTTCATCAAAAATTACCTTGACCACAAACTTCAGCCTGAAGCGGGACAGACGGACGAACGAACGGGCACACAGACCAAAAAACATAATACCCCTAGGTGAGGCATAAAAAAGCGACTTACAGAAAAAGAACTGAGCAACAGGCCACGGTGAAACTCTTGAAATAATACAATAGTAAAATTTGGAAATGCGTAACTCTGCTGAAATTTACCCATTTGTAATTTTTAAAACAATATGGTTGTAATACATAGATACCAAGTGACAATAACACAACACCAGTAAAAAGCATACATACAAGACAAAAATCAAACAAAAAAGACAACCAAAGACCACTTTAGCTTAATAAATGCAGTTTTACAATTGAGAGATTTATTAATTAGTAGATTTGTTTTTCGCAAACAAAGAAAGATATGTTCAATAAATGCAACCTTCGGCAATTGCACAATTACCCATCGTTTAATTACATAATTAAAAAGTAAATCGTTCATTTGACAATTTTGGGGAAGTCAGACTTCGTCGGAGTAATTTTGCTTTCTCACATGTTCCAAGTAATTTACAGATATTACAAGTGTTTGTAAGAAAATTTACATACCTGGTACATCAAGTGTATATGGAAAGTTTCCAATTATCTCATCCAAAGGCTAGCAGATAAAACAAAAATGTACGATATACATCAATGTACATTTATGGAATCAGTTAAAGCAAAAATCATTGCATTGCACATATACTTGGTTCAAAACAGGACTGCTAATAAACTGACATGAGAAGAACTGAATCTTATGAAAATATTGCACAATATTTACAGGTGTATTCTGTGATGTAGAATGTAGAAAGAAACAGAGGGTATGGAGTTGTTTTTCATATCATAACATCCATAAACACACTAAACGATTATCTGCGTAAACTGTTCTGCATTTCAAAGTCATAGTAATGACTTCAAGATGAAGCAAACAATTGCACATAACTAATTCGAGTGATATAGTAAATATTATAGCACAAATCAATTCATTAGCTTCTTAAATGTAAGTATCAATGTAATTATTATTCTTTCATAAACAACTATGAATGTACAGCATGCATTTAACATAAAATGAAAAAAACTTAGCTGATTTCCATACCTTTGGAACGTACACTACAAGTGACCCTATTCTTGGTAATGACAACCGTCCTGGAGGTACACAGTACTTTAGATATCCATGGTAGTTACTGTCTTCTCCCTGCTCTGACTTGCTGACGACTACTAGATGTTCCGAATATCTATTAGAAGGCAGATGCTTATAGAATTTTATCTTCAGTGGTGCATGTTTTAGACGATCTAAATAAAGATTTGATTCAAATTTTATTTCGACCTCTTCTCCATCAACAACACCAAAACCTGTACTCTCAGCTGGCCCATCATTATAACCTATAGAATCCAAGTGCTGCATAGTGGTGGCTACATTTTCAGATTTAACACATTCAATAATAACTTCATGCGGATTCGTATGCTTTTGACGACATATTATTGAAACATTGGTGACACAATTCAATCCTTCAAGTATTTCAGCTGCTCTGCAAATATCTTCTTCTGACATGTTGTCTGGAACAACTAGTCCCAAAACTCTACAGAGAGATTAGAAGTAAGTAAACATAAACTTGTTAATTAATATTGTTATTTGTTTTTCCTCAGAATGATATTTTTATATGGTATATTACATTCAAGATATCACAAAAATGCTATATATAATTTTTAATTTATTAGAATAACTGATTGTGCACTCACTGATATTGATCATTTCCGGATGGAAGCTTCAGGAATCTTGCTTTTGGATGTTCTTCAGAGGCTTCTATTGGTACAACCTCCCAACTCTTTCCTGTCAACTTTGAAACTACACAAATGGTACCCTCCTTCTTTTCAAAATCTGTTTGAATATATATGTTAATCATTACATTATACAAATGCAAATTACTTTACCGCTGTATTGTTCTTGAGTTGAGTTGTAAAAAAATAGACAAAATGCACCTGTGTATTTATAAATAAAATGTAACGATTTATCAGAAAGCGCTGATGTTTGGCAATTATACCACCAAAAGGCATTATAAAAAAAAACAATTGAATACTGAATTATAACAATTACATAAAATCAATAATATTTCTGTTTAAATTGACCGTGATGATCGTTAAGATTAATGCATTTGCATTGCAATTGTCAGTTTTAAATGTAATACACTTATAGAAAACAATAACATAATGAATTTTTACTTCTACATAAATTTGGGAAATATTCTGAAATTACTGATAAGGATCTGATAACAAATAAAATCTCTATCTCCAACAATGAATACCAGTTTTTTTTTTTAAATGAGGATAATTTTACTAGTCACAGAATTGAATGAACCGATACATTCACACAAATGTGAAGAAGTTTTTATATCAGAAAAAAACATATACTGGCTACAAGAATTATAATGAGGGATACATTTAATTGTCCATCTCTGAAAGAATGTTCCCCCTTTTCTGATTTGTCTGCGTATCGAACTCATCAAATGACATGATGAGAAGAAATCCTCAAGCTTTAATAATAAAATATGAAGATGCCATGTTGACGTCAACAAATCATATAATATATTGTATATATGAGTTATCATTTTAGGTTTCTTTGAAATTAAACTCATCCGTGGTTTTGAGGAGTAAAAACCTGCTTCCAAATTTATAAAGGTGTCGATAAAAAGTGAAGGTAATATCCTTGCGACATCAAATGGATGGTGGACGAACTGATGAACAGATAAAAAATACAATACCTCCACACCATCGCTGCTTTGGGGTATAATAATAAACCAATTTCATGAATTTATAATGCGCGTGATAGCGATTTTAGTCTAATTTTAACTTGTCAAGTTGATTACTTTAGTTCTAATGGTAAAAAGAACTGAAAAATTTGTATTAGTACAGAAAATAAATACTAGCTGCTGAAGTATGTAATTATGAGTATACAAGTACAATAAATGTTGTATCTAACATAACAATCGTATTGTTATTAAATATCAAGTATATTTAAATACTTCTATTCAACATGAAATATGTTGATGATTGAGAACCTGAAACGGCATTTAAAGTTTTCTATTTGTTTCTTTGTATATAACAATGCACCAAGTTCGTTGTGGACAATTAATTTCAAATCATCAAAGAACAAAGATTACGATCAATATTTTTATTGAACACATAAGCACGAATAGCCAACAGTCGTTTTTTTACATAAAATCTGGTATCCATAAATTGTGAAACACGTATATGCAACTTGAACTTATATAATGTACTTCATGAATAAGGAACAGTAACTGTTGTACTTTAAATCATCATACCTGGATCAAAGTCACTAGCAAAATTATCCTCGGCGTCCGTGTCTTCAGTTTTTCTAGACAGCTTGACTTGCTTTTTTACAGAATTTATTCTATTTGCCACTATTGGTTGGGATGATTTCAATCCGACTAAAAATTTATCGAAGTCACTATCAGCATCAGAATCGTGCAAATGACGAAGAATCAAGCGAGTCTTGTCCCCATCTGTCTCTTTTGTCTGCATATTAAAATATCATTAGCCAGTATATACATTAGAATATTATCAAATATATATATATACATAAGAATATTACTAGCCAGTATATACACAAGAATATAAGACCTAACAAAATATAATTTTGTATTTGTATCATATAGCAAGCAACCGTTTATATATTTTGTTTTGCAAGATTTGATGGTTGAATCTTTCGTCAAAACTACCAACATTTCTTCTATTCACAAATGAAATACTTTTTGAAAGCGACTTATCAATGAGTGTTTTCCTTTCATCAGCAGCACATGGGTGTCACTATTTGAACAGAATCTGCTTACACTTGAGAAACAATTGGGATCACACCGGTTTTTTGATTGGATTTGTGTTACTAGTCTTTATTCTATATTTTGTATTGTTTTGTAGACTGACTTTTTTGCTTTTCGTCGTTTTTCCTTTTTGCCATGATGATGCCTATTGTTTTAATTGTCCCTGTCGTATCATAAGTCTCTTGCTTCATTTTCTGTTCTTGATTTAGTGTATTTCTATACACTAATGCATTTTTTCACATTATTTAGTTTACAGTTATTGCATGAGTGAATCTGAATGTATAGGTAGATTATCGAATTTTATACATTTTTCAACAAACCTTCAGGTCTTCAACGAAGTCACTATCAAAGACATCATTTAATTGCAATGCATTTTCATCAGGATTTAAATTATTGACTACCCATCTGCTACATCTGTTAATAGTTTCTTGGTTAACTGATTGATTCTTTTTGACATTTTTGTCAACTAGATAAAAGAAAGAAAGAATAATTACTTTCCATATATTGATTCTATAGACATTCGTTACATAACTCGCGTATGTGAAAAAAGAAGAAAAAGAATAAGAAAATTGATTGTTAATAAAGCATTCGTTTTAAATATATACAATAACACTTACCAACCCAACCAAAATCATACATCTCTAAATCTGAATCTTCTTTTGTTGAATTTTCGCATGATATATCTATATAAGAACCAGCTGTTTTAATATTTTGCAACTCTTTGTGCTTCTTTGAAGCATTTTTAATGTCCGCATGAGTCCATGGTACTGCCTTTAAAAATATAACACATAGTAATACTTGATTTAATAGTTGTCATTTGATAAAACATAATACCAATAATTACATTATATATATAAACTATAGATCTTTAGACCTAATAAATCAAAAGGCTCAATACGTTGTGTTACCTACTAAATAGATTCTTCATTTCACATAATATTTTAAATCATCTTCCAAACCACATAAATTTGTAAAAAAAAAAAAAATCGCACGAGGAGAACTGCTACGGATCATATCTGGTGCTAGTACAATGTGTTATAGAAAAGATCTTAGCAACTGTTGTCATGAAGTATAGAAAACTATTTTTTTATGTATGGTGTCCTAATACGTCGTTTAAATTAAAGTTATATCCCTCTATTCTTGAAATATGACAAAGAGACACAAGGTAATCATTATACAGAGTCATTAAAAGACCAATGTATTTGCGATTGTATAAAAACTCGATCAACTGTATCGACCGTCGATGGTGTGATAGATAGGTCGTCAGCAGAATTTTCATTTTCGCCATTGCTTGTGTTTATCTTGTTAAAAGGATTAAAACTATGATATATTTCTTCTACATGTTTTTGTGGATACAATACGTCAAGCTGTCTTATCATTCCTTCATGTAGTTTTGTGGCCAAGTTTTCTTTCACTTCTATGATTTATTTATTATACTTCTTGTAGTTTTTGCAAGCCACGTTGATTATTACCTCTTCTTTGGTTTTTTCTCCCTTTCTTATTGTGTAAAGACTCATATAGATATATTTACCATTGCAGTATCATTGCTCTTTTCGGTTATGATTTGTTTTTAAAATATTACCTTCGTAGCTACAATAGTTTTCCCAGCAAACGCTCTCTGTGGAAACTTTACTTTGATATTTCTGTCAACTTCTGGTTCAAAAACTTTCCCTTCTTCGTCGACTTCGATTTCATGACGTTTGTGTCTGTCAACAGCAACACACTGAATGCTTTCAAATTGGTTAATGGGTATTTCTACTCCAACGAAGGAAACACCCTAGTTTTTAAAATGTTTGAAATTAAAATTATTTTCTGTAATATACGGATATTATATAAATGAGTCTACATTATGGAATATACAAACAGTAATTTAGATAGGAAGACACTAATTAATAGAGTTTATGACTATGTGTTTTAAGGCATACTTTTTTGGGTTTGTTGATTGTTTTATAGAAACAGAAAACAAAACACCTTGAAAACAATTTAACCCATGTGTTGTCACTTACCAAACATCTGTGAGAAACACCTTCGGTGTCATTCGGGAACATTGGAAATAAATTAAAAAAAAAAATTACAAATTATCAAAAAAATTTCCCGAGCCCATAATAGCTTGAAGGCAATCAAATAATCTAAGTAGATATAGGAAGATGTGGTATGAGTGCCAATGAGACAACTCTCCATCCAAGTTACAATTTATAAAATTAAACCATTATAGGTCAAGGTACGGCCTTCAACACGGAGCATTGGCTCACACCGAACAGCAAGCTATAAAGGGCCCCAAAAAATACTAGTGTAAAACCATTCAAACGGAAAAACCAACGGTCTAATCTATATAAAAACGAGAAACGAGAAACACGTATGAACTACATAAACAGACGACAACTACTGTAATCAGATTCCTGACTTGGAACAGGTGCAAACATTTGCAGTGGGATTACACGTTTTAATGGTACCAAACCTTCTCCCTGTTTTGAAACAATAGTATAACATCACAACATAGAAAAACACACTATAAAATATCAATTGGAAGGCTTAACTCAATCAAAAAACGTAAATTAACACACAATGAACGAATAAATTTGACATGTGACACCTAAAAGCAAATACACAGTTAAAAAAAAATTACAAGGGATAAATAATTAAAGTCAAAAGTAAATAAACAGGTTTAAACAAAATTAAAGTATGATATCACTGTGAAATTTCAATGTTGATGTTCTTTAAATTAACAATCCGAACTTTTCTGATTGGGTTCCATAAATATATCCACCAGAACTAGAAATTAAAGAAACAACAGACACGGCTTCCTCCGCCTCATTTTTAGACTTATATCTCGAATTTGACATACACAGTCATCTCAGTACCAGAATCTATGACAAACGAGACGATTTGAATTTTAAAATTATAAATTTCCCCCACCTTAGTAGCAATATACCAACTTCACCTGCATATGGGATATACATTTCCCAACTTATTCGATATTCAAGAGCTTGCAGCTCCTACTCAGACTTTGTAAAACGTCACCAGTGTCTGAGCAGAAAGTTGATGAACCAGGGGTATGTCAAAGAACGTCTCGTCCTTTTTCTAAAAAAGTTCATCGGAAGGTACCAAGACCTTGTTGATAAATATTCCGTATCAACTTCACAAATAATACATGATGGTCTTGAAGTATAGATTCTGCGTACTGACGTTGTTTATCATCTTAACAACGTGTTATATTGTTCTTTCATTTGTCTTTGTTCTATTATTAATATTGCTTTTACTGTTTGGTTTGTTTTCTGTGATATCCATTTGACGTGGCTCGGTACTTATACATCCCGTCAATGTGTTTGTATTATCTTTCATTTTTGCTGGTGTGTTTTGTATATGCAATTTTTTTGTGTTTCTTTGGTTCTGATAACGTGACTCTGTACTTTAAAAGATCCCGTCATTATTCTATTGTTCTATTATGTGTCATTATGTTATTGTTCTATTATATGTCATTATGTTATTGTTCTATTATATGTCATTATGTTATTGTTCTATTATAAATTTGAAAATACTGTGAACGACAAACGACAAATTTATTTTACTCGCGTAGTGGTATTAACCATTTGTGGATTCTTAAAAATTCTAAAGAACTTCTGGACAATTTTAAATCTCGGTCTATTTCTGAAACTAATTCTAACATAACTTTTGATTTTTTAACCCTGTATACCAACATTCCCCATGTGAAATTATAAAATTGTTTTGAATAAACATTGAACGACACAATTTCTTCTTTTGTGACGTTTACATTTTCTGACGTCAGACACGCGAAGCAATGAATGTGGTTTTTAATTTGATAGATGCTTTTGTGCTTTTTTGTAAATGATTGTTTGTTTTGATATTGTAACACAGTGATGACTGTTGTACCCATATTTTGACTATTTTATTTTTTATGTCTGTTTTGTTCACGCATCGTTGTAAATATAACGGAATTTGATGAGACTGTCGTACAAGCGAGAGGTTTAGCGCTATAAAACCAGGTTCAATCCACCACTTTCTACATTTGAAAATGCCTGTACCAAGTCAGGAATATGACAGTTGTTGTCCATTCGTTTGATATGTTTTGTCATTTGATTTTGCCATGTGAGTAGGGACTTTCCGATTGAATTTTCCTTGGAGTTCAGTATTTTTGTGATTTTACTTTTTTCAAACAATTTTTAGAAAATCATCACTTTTGAAGATACCTGCGTCATATTATACACAGGTAAATGAAAATAATTTTGTTGTTAAGTATACTTCTTCTGTGTGTATAAAATCTTCCGTTTAGGAATACCAAGAAATTTCTTTAATATCAATAAAACTAATCTAACACTTGGTACATATGGGGTGAATATCAACAATAAAAATATACAATTAGTGCTAGATAAAACTTCCTGTACAGGTCCAAGAACAGCATCTAAGGAAAAATGAAATAATTTTGATGTTCATAATACAAAGAAGTGAAAATTGGTAGTAAATTAAATGCCAAATAATCAAAGCTGGTATATAGACAAGATCCATGTTAACATTAAATAACAAAAAAGCATTACAAATAGTATCAACAGGTCAAATTAAAAAGAAAGTACGATTTGAGAGTACTCGCAGTTACTGACAGCTAGTTATAAGCCAAAACAATTAATAATAAAAAATCATGCATCAGAGACTAAAATCAACTAAAATACATCCCAGGGATTTAGTATTTTAACGTCATGAACAGTCAAAGAAGACATGACTTGTGTAATGTCAAAAATAAATGTATCGACAGGTAGTAGGATAGTTAGGAGTGACTTCTTTTATAGAAAAAAATGAACGTGTGTGTGTCTCTATACATCCCGTTTGAAAAGAAAATACAAATTTAGTTATGTTTTAATTTGCTAATGACAAAATCGATATTAGTGCCAATGTAAACTATATTCAGAGATCTAATTACAACATTGGTACGATAACCCTTCTCATAAGTTTGTTTAAAGGTTCGATGAGTTTACACGGATCACATAATGATTTCCGCGCTTTAAGTACAATATAACTATAACATTTAGGATGCAAAATACCATTTTTAATAAGTTTTCTACAGGTACAGCCAAATTTACTAATCAAATATTTGTATCTATGAAAGAATTTAGTAAAAGTTTTAAGTAATTTATGGTTACGGTATATTTTGGTGCAAGCTGTTGTTATAGCTTAATACCAGAATTGCTTTTGGAAAATGCCGCTATTATGGTGGCAAACGAAGAAATATTGAACACAGTTGTATCATTCATCAGCATTCGTTAATAATGCCAGCTAGAAGAACTCAATATATTTTTTTCAATGTGACCTGGAAAAGTTCGGTTGTTATTTATATTGCAGATATTTCGAGGTGTGTCCTCCAATATGTTGATGAGTCACCCCATCTATTCCGCAAAAGTCTAAATTGATAAGGTAGCAATATTACAAAGGAATCATATCTTTCAGTGAACCGACACTTCATACATGTATCTATGGTTTTAATCACACAAAAGTCCTTGATGTTGAACAGCTAGAACATTCACTAGAACGATGTATAGCGATATCATCTGGAAAGATTCTGCACAAAGGAACTAAATATGTCTCAACCAAATAGCATTAAAGATAGCAGTATTTTCATATTGTTTGAAGAATGGTTAATTAAATTACACTAGTCTATTATTTCTGACTTACATTGTTCAATTTGAAGATAAAAATGAATCTTTGTTATTGAAATTGACGGTTTTATATAATTTCCGGTGCAGAGGTCATATCCGTTTCGATCCATATTACGTAATACTACACTAAATATGACAAGGAGTATCGTGGAGCATGTACGAAACTAACATGAACTATGTGCTTAAGATAAGATATTACATGGAAGAGGGTATAAACATAGAATATCATAATTAAAAAAGTGCAAAGTTCTTGAGATAATAAACGAATAGCTGTTTGAAATGGCTAAACAATTGGTCGTTACGGAGTGTTTGGATTGACATTCAATGTATTGTTCTAACAACACAAAGTAATCAAAGTCTTTATTTCACTTACTTTCACTTTTGGTAGATGAATTTCTGGAAGTGATTTTCCTGATCTCCATTTCTGACCTTTAATTGATAACTTCAGCGTTGGTAGTAGGCACTGATCATGCGATACTATTGGCACATACACGCGCATTGGCAACTTAAATGTAAAAATATATGTATTCCTTATCAGCAAATATAACAATAGTTTTAATATTAATAGGTTTTAAGTTAAATATCGACATGTATATTAATTAATTTTTGAACACTCGAAATTCAATCGATTGTAATCTTGACTTTGATTAAAGGGCATTTATGGTTGCATTGACGGTAGCAGATATGTGTGCACATTCTTCCAGCCGGGTATGTAATGATTGCGTGCAATCAATACTAAAAAGGCTGGTTAAGACGAAATCGGCGAAGTTTCATATAATTGCAAAATTTAAATTGCATTTTATATAAAGTATAAAACAGTAACAGATGAAATTATACCTCAAAAGTCATTTTGCCTTTCTTTGGTTGTATTGTAATAACAGGTGATATGATTTGTTCGTCATTGGTTTCCAAACATTTATCTAGATCTTCAACAGCATCTGACCCTTGGCAGACAAAATCACTTTCCTGAGTTCCATCAGGCATTGTAAAAATAACACAGCAGATTTCCTGACGAAACTTGTTTTGGCGTGTATTGTAATATCTAAATAAATGGACGAAGTTTGCATATAATTAATATTTAGAATGACAAAGAATACACAAATACAGTCGATGCTTTTAATAGCTTGACATATCATGTGTATCTTTGTATATTGTTGAATTCGTAATATTTAAATATATGTCATTTCTTTTTTTTTTTTTTTGTTTCATTTAGTAGAATCTAATTGACTTATATCCTCATGTATGGAATAACTGCACAAAGGAAAGAGTTTTAATGAACTGCTTGATACACCTTCATATTAGAGAAAAAAATAACAAATGAGCCAAAATTACATGAAAGGTGGCCAGTTTTTCCAATCCCTCTTTTTCTTGTCTTCTTCTTGCTTTCTTCGTTTCTCCTCAGCTTCTCGTTCCTCTTGCTCTTTTCTCCGTTTCTCAGCTTCTTCCTGTTCTCTCTTTTTCCGTTCTTCCTCTTCTACTTTTCTCCGTTCTGCGTCTTCCTTTTCCCTTTTCTTCCTTTCTTCTTCTTCCTTTTCTTCTTTTTTTCTTTTTTTCTGTTCTTCCAATGTTTCTAAACCATCACACCATTGTTTCATTTGACTTGTAACACCAGTTAAATCGGAAAAGGACAAAGCTGCGTTACTTTCAATCTTCAAAACCAGTTGTTCAGTTTTCGCTATGAACTCCATCAGTTCTTGTTGTTGTTTTGCAAGTCTCTGCACAGTTTGAACTTGTTCTAGTTTTTTCATATCAATATCATTCCTAATTGGTATAAACAAAATGCTAAACTAGGAAACAATATCCTAATCAGTAAATAAATAGAGTTTAACATTACATTTGAATTTGAAAATCTTTTTTTAGAAATAAAGATGATGATTGGTTGCCGTTTAATGTCACGCTGCAAATAAAATGCCTATTTAGGACAAGAACGTGTGTACTGTATGTGGCATGAAAATGAAACCTGCTTTGTACTAGACTGACACGCTGGTGAGGACTTTCAACATGCTAGTTCACAGGGTTAAAGTCCGCAGGAAGACGTTTTAACTTACCTGGACACATTTATCTGACAACTAATGAACCAGTGTTTGCTTTACTCATGCTGCCTGCTGAGCGGAAAATCGGCAACTATAAATGTAAAAGGTTTGATTTGGTCGGGGATAGCACCATCGACCTCTCGCAATCAAATTGAACACGATACCGCGAGACCACAGAGACGATTTTGCAGGATTTTGTTTTACTTATGTATGGATTTATTTAGAAAGCCGTATGGTGACCAATAGTTACTTACTTCCACGTTATTTTGACACTAATAGATAGATGTCTCATTGGCAATCATATCACCCCGCGTTTTTCTAAGCTTGTACTTATTCATTGCTAATTTGACCCAAGATGTTCTATTTTTGTGAACTTGTGTGTTAATAAGTTGCTGTCCTTATGACGTTTGTCAAATATCTATATACAAGTGTTATATCGGTATGTCATTTTATGGTGTGTAGATTACCTATTCAACGGCCTTCCTTGTGGTGAAAATTCAACTGCAAAGAATAAAATACATATAGATTAGCAATTAAAAAAAACCTTCACGTCGGAGTAGTACATATACAAGCAACTCAAATCATTTGATTAAGTTTATTATAAGGAAATAGATATTTAAAAAAACGGTATGTTATAGAATATATATTTTTCTGTTTGATAAACTTCTTCATAAAGGTAATGAGCGTACATATATGTGAAATCGTTAATGTTGTGTTGTGCTTGTTTAGTTAAAGTATTGTAGAGGAAATAAATTATTCAAAGAAACAAAATTAGGTGGCTCATTAACGGTAAATTTATCCAAGAGTTTGTTGAAAAAAGGTATATAAAAAGACCCTTTGATGCATACACGAAATCCATTTTCACATATTTTGTTTTATCGATGCCAATCCGCATTTTATTGACTTATGACCAAGATTTTTGCAGTGAGTGAACAAAATTCTTATTTTTTATGTAATTTTGTTGCCATTTTCGTTGTTTTGTACCTGATATAATTTTCATTTATGTTTCATATATGTTGTTTAGTTTATTTTGTATTATATATCCAACTCAATTCAACTGTCATTGCCATTAAATTTAACCTTTGCGTCAAATAATTTACACTATTTGATATCGTTCAACATCATCGATATTGTTTGGTTAAATTGGTTTCATTGAAAAATTTTGTGATTACTGTATGTTTAATGATTAGGATTTTGTCTATGTTAACGACACTTTATTTTTGCATGCATAGCAGGAGAGGTCTACCCTGTCGACGTAACCTGTCTTGGTCTGTTTACTGTTCATCCAACTCCTTCAGTTTGTGTTTGTTGCTTTTATTTGTCTCTTAGATTTTCTACTCGATTTACGAGATTTGAAATTCGGTAAACTACTTTCACTTTAATTTGCATACATTCCCAGGTTTGAGACACGTGCAAGTTTGTGTTGTTGTTGAATTTTTTTTATATATGTTTTTTTGCAATATTCTATATTTTGAGAATGAGCGATTCAAGTGAGTGGGTTAGTTTCCATTGTATTCATTGATTTTTAGAATTTATGGATAATTTTACGCTCCAATTGCGTTGTCCCGATACATTGTACTAAGTTTTATCCTTTAAATCGAACATCACTGCATTGATCATCATGCAGAAATACGGTTTACATAAGACAAACTTACGGGGCCATAATTTTCATTTCGGCGCCTTTTACAGCTGACTGTGCGGTATGGGTTTTGCTCATTGTTGAAGGCCATACGGTGACCTATAGTTGTTAATTTCTGTGTCATTTGGTCTCTTGTGGAGAGTTGTCTCATTGGCAATCATACCACATCTTCTTTTTTATACATATATTTACAGAATTAATCAATACAAAGTATGAAATAGTATGGGATTTCCCTTGTCCTTAGTCGTGTTTGTTCTTAAAAATGATTTATAACTTTTATAAAGGGGAACAGTACGTTTTGTGCCATAACACTGCAAAGGTATATTTTGTAATGAAGTACATTTTTGTAAGTAAATGAAACTTTATTTCAATTGAAATGGTTAAATTTTATTGACGTAGTTATATAGTTTTAGAGTCTTGTTTGAATATGTGTCATTGTCCTTTACTTTATTACATTTATATATTGTTAAGTCTGTTATATATATATTATTGCACTGAATACACTATTTCTTGTACATGTTTTCCTTGCTAAAACCCGCACCAGTGTTCCATAAAAAAAGTTTTACCTGTAATCCCCACACAATCTAACGACATCAAAAGCTGAATCTTTAGTAATCAAATAGAAAATTATGCTAAAATTTGTCTTCGATGAAAAATGATTTTGACATCATGAATAATTTAAAACTGAAAAACTGGTGAAATAAGATTATTTGACTCCAAATCTGGTCGGCAATACACTAAAAATATACTGATTTATACCACAAATGCGATTTCAAAAGGAAAATATACCTCTTGGGATTGTAGCCAATTGTTATTCTAATTTCTAATGAACCTTACGCATTATAAACAATCAATTTAGAACATTCTGTAAGATTACCTACTTTTTATCAAGTTTTTTTTCATTAATTCTTGTAGATGTTCGCCGATTTTGACGCTGCAGTTTTTCACTAATTCTCTGACATTTTCGAGTTCTTCTATAATTTCTGTTGCATACTTGGATACTTTTTCTAAATCTGTTTGTGTCTTTGTCATAGTCTTTGAAACAGTTTCTTCATACTTCTCAAATGATATGTTTGGGTCGGCGGGATTTGGTAATTTTTTTAGCGCCTCTTTTCGCTGACGTAATAAGTGTAACGCTTCAATGTCAACCATTTTGGAACTGTAAAACGAATCTGTGTCATCAATATTTAAGTAACTCGTATAATTATTTATCAACTGTGGAAAAAAAGATGTACACGTCAAGAAAGACAACAAATTATCTAATACTACAAAACGACAGCTTAAGTTTAACTTTTTTTGACTGACAGACTTGACTTGAGATAGCATATCATATGTTTAATATCATATAAATGTTTAGGTCGGAGGCCATTCAAAGAGAGGGACATTCAAACTCATAACTCGAATAAAAACTGACAACTCCATGGCAAAAAAATAATTCGCCCAAAAGACACACAACAGTATACAGAATACAACATTGAAAACTAAAGAATGAGCAACACGAACCTCATCAAAACCCGAGGATGATTGCAGGTTCTTCAGAAGGGTAAGCAGATCCTACTCTACATGTCAAAAAGTCAAAATCGGGAGGTCACATTCGGGGAAAAGAAAGACGGTGTTGTGGGTACGTCGATTAGAATATATCAAATATTCAAAGTTAGAACTAGGAGAAAGTAGATGGAATTATCATGCAATTATGGCGCAGCTGTTGATGCATTTATTTGAGAGATTGAAATCTAATCTGAATACATTGTTTTATACAAGATGTAATTCTTCTCATGATGGAAATAGGTTTTGAATAATTAAAACATCAAATATATCCATATTTATAAAGTCCTTTTGAACATCAATCCAAAATGAAAAATGAAAAGATAATGCCACAACAATAAGGCAATAAATGTATTAAATTCATAAAAAATACATAATTTCTTGTTGTTAAAAAATCATATAAAGAAAGAAAAACGACAAAAGAACGGCCTAGTTGGTATCATCGTCAATTATTATATTGCTTTACAATAGTGTATAAACTTTGTATTCTAGTTTTAATTGTATTGTATTTTATACTTAATTTACATTTTTATGATATGTAGTTGTTTCTATAAATTCAAGTTTTTTCTTGCTTTATGTTAAATGCCCAAAGTGTGTCAGGTGACACTCACCACTGGTATACTTAAAGAATTTATAAATTAGAACTATTAATGACAGCTTTCTGTCCTTCTCTTTAAAAGTAAAAAAAAATAATCTGCAGTTAACTGAAGTTTGTAATATTAATAAAATAAATTATTGGCATTTTTTCCATGGAATGAGTCAATATCCGTTATCTACATTTATAAAGATCCTGGTTTACGCTTCAACGTCGAGAAAGTCGTATGTGTGCAAACGTCCATCCAAAATAAAATTTCGATTTTATATATCGCGATATAATTATTTAATCTGACAAACTGTCAACTATCAAAACAATTGCTAGGGCATTGGCACCTCACTTTACACCATTAGAGGTATGTTTCTGATGACATAAAATGCATGTAATCTGACATCTTTCTTATGAATTCCTTGTTTAAATATCATGTTTTATTCATTTAAAGAAAAACAGTTAACAACATACCTTAATAATGACCATCAATTGAAAAATTCAACTACGATATGTATATCATAGAGCTACACAACATATTCAAACTTGTTTCCAAATGATTAAACATATTTTGAAATTCTATTAGCTAGAATACTTTTTGTTCCAGGTAAGGTTACATACATAATAATCCGTCATATAAACTAATAAGACATATTTTAAGTTTAAAGGGAACAAACATAATTATGTAGCTAGCTTATTCATCTTTTGCATTGTGTCGGTATTCATTTAAATCAAAATGTACATTTTAAAAACTAAAATGCGTAGGATGTTCTCAAGGCTTAATAGTGTATTTCATTTATTTCATACAAAAGAAAATGTTTCTTCAGATGAGTAACATTTTATTTGTTCAAAGTCATATATATTTTTCTTTACGTTATGTTCCTGATGCATAACACAGGTGTTCAATTATGAGCAGCTGGTGGGGAATAGTCAAAGAAAGAATGGGGTGTGGATTCAAATATTGTTTTTAGCATTAACCTATAATTCTACGATGTCATGATTTAAGGACTATGGGCGTCTCCTAAAGGGAACGGACGAGCATTAGAATAATTTCCATAAACTATAAACACACAAGGATGTGTTCCAAATTTGAACAAAAATAAAAACAAGTTGATATGATATAAAGTATTCCAGAAATAAGCTCACATTATTTTTCAGTATTTTACAAACCTGCTAGTGCATTTTCATTGTTATTCAACGCAAAATAATTATCTAAGATACCTTAGAATATAGCAAAGTGCTCTCGACCAATGAAATTGTAGGATTTGATGATTTCTTAATTGTGAAAAATGAAGATAAATCATGTTCTTTTGTAGGATTATCCTATTGTTTAGGTATACATTGTATTTACATTACAAAACAAAGAGTTCCGATATATAAATGAGTTACAACTTCCCCGAAGCATATTTATCAGCTTGAAAAGATTTGTGATTGACACTGACTAAATATTGAATTTTGAAACAAACAAAAATAATCAAAATAAGTTTACTGGTGAAGTAAAATTAATACCGTTAATGGTATTACGAAAATATTAATAACTTCAAATTAAAAATAAACATTATCAAAGCAATACAAAATAAGAAAAAAAAAGATTTATATATATTAGAAATAACATAAATCTTTAGCTAAAACCCTTACCATAACTCAGATTACTGGATCCGAGATTGGGAAAAATTTAACTTTTGAAATTTTTAAAACTTTTAAAGGCATTGTATTTGAACATTTCCCTGACATAGAAAAAAAAAGTATTTGATGTAAAGAGCTGGACTAAAATATTGACTGTGAAGCAAGATTTAGTTGGAACTCAAATTTATGTATATCAATATTCATTAATTAAAGTTTGTTCATTTGACAGTTCTTTTTGATACATGTTTTAGTGTGCAAATCTTTTTTTTTTTTCACTCGAGGTTATCCGTCTCAGGTTGCACAGTGAGCCAATACCCTCTAAACAGGGGCTGGGCCAGCACCCAAACATGCAGGTATATAATTTAATAGTAGGTATACTTAAGTTACCTTTGTTGGACATGGGATGGGCCAGCTCTCAACATGTCACGCGTGGAGACGTATTTCGAAGTAACACAGTGTTCTTCGAATTATGCGTCGAGCTCTTGTCACTACTCACTATTAAAGGCTCGCTTTGCTATTAAGTTCACATTGTTTGTGGTTTCATTCAATACTCTACGAGTTATGTTTCTGTGAGATTTATATTCAAGCGGGTCGTAACTTTCTCCTTATGGTCGTAGTTATTTGAAGTCTCAGTAATACATCTACACTCTATCCTCTTTTACAGTTGCAGCGATATATGCTCGAATAATGTGAATTTAATTTCTTTATTGAGATATGGATTTTACTTATTTTGTAAATACGTATCAACCATAAGCATGTTACCCGTAACGCCAATTTTTATATTTTTTTATATTTGTATTTATTGCGTTTTTATTTTGTTATGTATATATATTAAATAATTCGTCGTTTTTGATTTATTTGATTTTTTCCATTGGTTTGTCAATCTAATTTTGTTATCTTAATTGGAATTACGTCATCAGTCGTTCCCCAGTAAACAATCCAACGTTGACATTACGTTGTGACAACGTAGTAAAATTACCTTGGTACAACGTAATGGTGTATGTGTGCAAACGTCCATCCAAAATAAAATTTCGATTTTCTATATCGCGATATATTTATTCAATCTGACAAACTGTCAACTATCAATACAATTGCTAGGGCATTGGCACCTCATTTTACACCATTAGAGGTATGTTTCTAATAACATAAAATGCATGTAATCTGACATGTTCTGATAATGTTTAACTTTCCTTTAGCCTTTTTATTTCTTAAGAATTACTTGTTTAAATATCATGTTTTATTCATTTAAAGAAAAACAATTAACAACATACCTTTATAATGACCATCAATTGAAAAATTCCAACTACGATATGTATATCATAGAGCTACACAACATATTTTAACTTGTTTCCAAATGATTAAAAATATTTTGAAATTCTATTAGCTGGAATACTTTTTGTTCCGGGTTAGGTTACAGGCATACCCATTCGTCATATAAACTGATAAGACATATCTTAAGTTTAAAGGGAATAAACATAATTATGTAGCTAGCTTATTCATCTTTTGAATTGTGCCGGTATTCATTAAATCAAAATGTAATTAAATTTTTTAAAGATTAAATGCGTAGGATGTACTCAAGGCTTAATAGTGCATTTCATTCATTTCATACAAAAGAAAATGTTTCTTCAGATGAGTTACATTTTATTTGTTTAAAGTCATATATATTTTCCTTAACGTTATGTTCCTGGTTGCATAACACAGGTGTCCAATTATGAGCAGCTGGTCCAGTATAGTCAAAGAAACGAATGGGCTGTGGATTCAAACATTGTTTTTAGCATTTATCTTTAATTCTACGATGTCATGATTTAAAGACTATGTGCGTCTCCTAAAGGGAACGGAGGAGCATTAGAATAATTTTCATCAACTATAAACACACAAGGATGTGTTCCAAATTTGATTTTTAAAACAAGTTGGAATGATATAAAGTATTCCAGAAATAAGCTCACATTATTTTGCAGTACTTTACAAACCTGCTAGTGCATTTTCATTGTTATTCAACGCAAAATAATTATCTAAGATACCTTAGACTATAGCAAAGTGCTCTCGACCAATGAAATTGTAGGATTTGATGTTTCTTAATTGTGAAAAATGAAGGTAAATCATGTTCTTTTGTAGGATTATCCTATTGTTTAGGTATACATTGTATTTACATTTCAAAACAAAGAGTTCCTATATATAAATGAGTTACAACTTCCCCGAAGCACATTTATGAGCTTGAAAAGATTTGTGATTGACACTGACTAAAAGTTGAATTTTGAAACAAACACAAATAATCAAAATAAGTTTACTGGTGAAGTAAAATTGATACCGTTAATGGTATTACGAAAATATTAATTATAACTTCAAATTAAAAAAAAACAATATCAAAGCAATACAAAATAAGAAAAAAAAAAAGATTTATATATTTTGAAAATAACATAAATCTTTAGCTAAAACCCTTACCAAAACTCAGATTACTGGATCCGCGATTGGGAAGAATTTAACTTTTGAATATTTTTAAAACTTTTAAAGGCATTTTATTTGAACATTTCCCTGACATAGAAAAAAAAAGTATTCTATGTAAAGAGCTGGACTAAAATATTGACTGTGAAGCAAGATTTGGTTGGAACTCAAATTTATGTATATCAATATTCATTAATCAACGTTTTTTCATTTGACAGTTCTTTTTGATACATGTTTTAGTGTGCAAATGTTGTTTTTTTTTCACTCGAGGTTATCCGTCTCAGGTTGCAAAGTGAGCCCATACCCTCTAAACAGGGGCTGGGCCAGCACTCAAACATGCAGGTATATAATTTAATAGTAGGTATACTTCAGTTACCTATGTTGGACATGGGACGGGCCAGCTCTCAACATGTCACACGTGGAGACGTATTTCGAAGTAACACAGTATTCTTCGAATTATTCGTCGAGCTCTTGTCACTACTCTCTATTAAAGGCTCGCTTTTTACTATTAAGTTCACATTGTTTGTGGTTTCATTCAATACTCTACGAGTTATGTTTCTGTGAGGTTTATATTCAAGCGGGTCGTAACTTTCTCCTTATGGTCGTAGTTATTTGAAGTCACAGTAATACATCTATACTTTATCGTCTTTTACAGTTGCAGCGATATATGCCCGAATGATGTGAATTTAATTTCTTTATTGAGATATGTATTTTACTTCTTTTGCAAATACGTATCAACCATAAGCATGTTACCCGTAACGCCAATTTTTATAATTTTTTATATTTGTATTTATTGTGTTTTTATTTTGTTATGTATATATATTAAATATTTCGTCATTTTTAATTTATTTGATTTTTTCCATTGGGTTGTCAATTTGTTAATTTGGAATTTTGGAATTACGTCATCAGTCGTTCCCCAGTAAACAATCCACCGTTGACATTCCGTTGTGACAACGTAGTAAAATTACCTTGGTACAACGTAATTTTGTGGACTCCAAGGCACGTGCTGACAACCATCCACACAACGTTGGCACAACGTAACTTATTACCATCATAAGACGTTGTACCAACGTCAAAACACAACTGTAAATGTTCCTTGTCCTCAGTTGATTGACAGGAGCAATATATATTTCCATTAAAGATGTAAACAGGGTCTTTCTTTTAATCTTTTGACCTGTTTTAAGTTTTAAATTTTTCTATGTAGGCAAGATGGACACAATGGCATATGTACTACTCTATTTCAAACTGCCAGCTGTGTATAATATAGTAAGAATTTCACAAAAGTTTGTTTACCTTTTTGCCATGTTTTATTGTCAAATGTATAAAAATATTATTTTCTTCAAAATATCTTTGTTTTCCCAAAAACTTCGCATTATGTTGTACATGAAACCCGAATTAATGTTCAATTCATGTTTCACACTACTGAAGTTGTTTAAGGTTAAAGTCTTAAAGTTGTTGACTTTTGCAATACTGAAGTACAAAATTTACACACTCTCTTACAAAACATGGTTTCAGTTTACACATTTCCATTTAACTAAAGCAACACATAATATTCAAAAAGGGAGATTTGGTATGATTGCCAATGAGACAACTCTCTATCCTAGACCAAATATTGTTGATGTTAGCAATTATAGGTAACTGCACAGCCTTCAACATGACGTCTTGGTACATGCTGCAAAATCTGAATGTTTAGTGGTTCAGTGTTCTAAAATATAGATTTCACTATGATGAAGGAAATTCTAGAATGTAAATTTCACTATGATGAAGGAAATTCTAGAATGTAGATTTCACTATGATGAAGGAAATCGTTTTTTAATGAAATACAACAAACTACCACATATACCTTAATATTTACTGTAGATTCATTCAGCTGGATTCACTTCACAATTACAAGCTAGGAAAAAGGTTTGAAAAGGCCCAAAGCAGACTGTATAATTTACAAATATATATTATACACAACTTATACACACTTCTATATTTATCCCAATGAAGAAAATACCTGGAATTCAATCAAACTAACTATTGCTTTTTTTGCTGGGTCTGTTTTCATAACAGGTTTGATTAATAGCGTGAAAATGCTTCTAACACGCATTAAATCTTAAATCAGCTGGGGGAAGGTCATCGTCCGTTCATATATTTGTTTAAAGAAACACAATTTACAATCAGGAAACATATACAATTTCTACCATTTCATTGTACTGTTGTGTCATCTAATGTCTAAATTAACACAATTTATGATAGTTTCCAAAATTACAAGAAAATCCTCTAAAACATCACTGAAACTAATTCATTTATGAATGAAATGCTAAAAAGGAAGTCATGCATTAATTATAAACCGGTAGTTTTAGGTGCCCCCCCCCCTTTTTTTTTCTCGATTTTTTTTTATTTACTGTTGCGTATGCATTTTGTTTAAATCTATTAGGACATTTCATGGTCATTGATTTCATTGTTTACTAGGCAAAAGAGGCGGAGCTAGACAGTGAAATAACTTGAGATGGAAGTTAGAGCACTGGCCTAAGCTCCTCTAGTTCTTTGCTTTTCCTATGACAAGCGACACACGGCGGGACTTCTTAAAGTGTAAAGCCAAAAACACAGAAAATATTTGATTTATATATTCTATAATGATAGTTCAATAGTCTTGAAATTAGTTAATGTCCCTTTTCGTAGACCTGCTATATTTTGATAACAAATAAATTGCCAAAAAAATAGAGTGAAGGGCTTAGTACCCCTCACTTTTACAAGTGTGTAAAACGGGTATGTCCCCCTTTCTAGGCTCCTACGCCCTGCATTTATATATAATACATTTGTCAAACAAAGAAATCCACACAAAGAAATATGGTTTAGCCCTCCTTCCCTCCGTCCACCATTTTGAAAGTTGGTTGGTTATGGGGGAAGGGGGCAATTATCCCCTTCCCCGGCTCATAACCCCCCCCCCCCCCCCCCCCTCCTAAAAAACAACAAAAAATATGAATTATAGTTTTAATACGTTTAAAAATTCAACGACGTATAAAATTGAAATATGAAAAAGTAATAAGACAAACGTTAATACAACATGAGTAAATATGAAATCAACAATATACATTTAAAAGACAATATAAATATAAATAAAATGCTGTTTCTTTCTTTTATCGACAATAACTTGTACTGAAAACTTTAATTTTGTCTTTTTTTAAAAATGATCCACATATTTTGAAAATCAAATTGTTCAGTTTATTTTCGTGGTCATTACAGTTACTGTAATGTGATATTCGAGTAGACCCAGGTATTGATCACGTGACACAACAATTTTTTCATTTTCCATCCCAATGTCCAAAGTGGTTGGTAGTTCATTTGACTTTGAGACTAATTTTGCGCTATCACAATTCGACTTAAACAAATTCCTTGAGCATGAAATGAAAAAGGGAAATCCTCTGTTTAGTTCGATTTCAGCTTAACTGCTAAGCAAACCCACGAGAGGTTTGTACATGGAAGCATTTTTATGGTTGCAGTTACTCTTGTAGGAAGTAACTTCGTAGATACTTTATTTTGGGGTGTTTCTAAACAACGGAAACGGAAAAAAATATTTATAAGGATGGAATTTGAGAAAACAAATGGCAAGAACAACGAAAATCAATAAAGACTGAAATAACAAAATCACACAACAAGTATGTTGAAAATAGGATAGAAGATATCAAGGAAAAAAGCATAACAGTAAAAAAAATCTATAAAAATAGGTAAAATTTGTCATTTAACATGTTTAAGGGCAATAACTCCTATAAAAAGCCACCGCACAGTTTTGACGTGAAGAACATTAGGAAGAGTTCACAATTGTAAAGATTTCTGCCTCGACAGACTCTCTCTATTTATATTTTTATTCAAAACAATAGGCAACACTTGCATTTTACCCCTATGTTCTATTTTTAGCCATGTCAGCTATCTTGGTTTGCAGGCAGGGTTATCGGACACATTAACAAATACCTCAATAAAAATTGTGGCCAAGTTTAACCAAAACTGTCAGACAA